AAGAAGACCCAGGTTGGTGAAATATTTTCAGAATATAAAGTTTTTTTGAAAGTTTTTCGAGTTTTTGAACAGTTAATAATTGCTAGTAAACTTTTTTAAGCGTTTTAGGCCTCAGGTCACATGCATATTGTGAAGAGTGGTAAATAAGGATAAACTTCTCCACTGCTTTTATAATATAACCTTGGATTAAATCCCAGTAAAAATTTAAGGCGTGTTTGGATTTCAGTTTGGTTTATCCAAATTGGCGAGCTGATAGGAAGAAAGTAATGCATTTGCTTTGTTAGCAAACTTCGTCCAATCATCGTGAGACATCTTGTCATAGTGAAAGGATATTTTCTTAGCTGGAGCTTTATTGGACTGAGGAACTAATTCTGAAATATAAAAGGAGGTCGTTGCAATATTATGATCTGTGAAGTCTTCATCAATATCAATTACTATGGCTGTATATATGTCTATCGCTAATCTATCTAAACAATAAATGTGATCAATCCTAGATGGGGTAAGGCATATTTTGTTGTTAAAAGTAGGAAATATTGCATTAGCATCGTCAAATAAAAGGTCAAAAGTATTGTATATATTATCATTATCCAATTGCTCAAAAAATTTATTTGAATTTGAAGTATTGTTAGCCTGAGAAGGAACTGCATTAAAGTCTCCTAGTAGGATAACTTGCATGTTGTCTAGCTTGACTTGGTTGAGTAATTTGGTGATGGTAACATAAGTCTTGTTACGGAGTGTAGTATCTGAACTTGAAATATAGGCGTGGATTATACAGAGTCTATATTTATGGCAGAATTGTAAATCTATATAGATATATCGTTCAAGATCACCTTGGCAATTATACATGTGATCTGCAAATTGTTTTTTTATAATAAGTCTGACTCTGAAGCCAGATTTTTATGCAGATTGATTATGATTTAAAAATATTCAGTAATTTGAATTAATAATATGTCTCAAAGATTTAGATTGCGAATTATTGGGGTCAGTTTCTTGTATTCTGATAATATCCAAGTGGTATAAAGAATAAATTTGCATAAACATTTATTATTTTGTTGGATTGGTGAAAGAACGAACATTATGTATGGCAGTTTTTAAAATTCAATTAATTATATTATGATTAAAAAGAGGATTCGAGATATTTCAATTATTATTATTATTTGTACGTATCATTATTTTTAAAGAAATTTAGGTTGGGTGGGAGGATCATACTTATTATCATTGAAGTAATCTGAAGGTGCCGGCTTAATTAGTTCTGTGATGTTAATTAAATGATTTTCTGGAAGGAGCTCATGATGGATAAGTAATCTTTGCATTTGGGCTACAGCAACGAGAGTATTGTTAAGTTTTTCATAATTATCACTTAAGTTACTCTTAAGAATGGAATTTTCAAGTTGTAATTCAGTAACTTGGGATTCTTGTTGTCGAACAATAGATTTGGAGATATCAATTCCTGCAGTAACATCTTCATTATCCTTTTCCTCCATATCATCAAGGGGATTTTTATACTTGTTATTATTGATGATATCTGCTTGTTCAGGGGAGATAGATGTAATATTGAGAACAGTTTCGATGGTATTTACCCTTGTAAGTGTAAAGCTGAGTTGGTTATGAATGTCAGCAAGTTGTTGAGAGATGTTTATAAGTTGAGTGGAAATGCTGTCAAGAGGAGATGGTTGATATTTATTATCATGATGATGGGATAATTCTGCTTCAGTTTCATCAGCCCATGACTCGTTAACATGGATACTATTATTAGTGTGTTTCCTACAGATGGTTTATTCTTAGGAAGAGGTGGTGAGACATTAAAGTCTGTTTTAGGATCGATGATATGGGTAAATGAAAGACCATTCAGTTTGGGTACATTTTGTTGACTAATGCCTTTATTATTTCTATTATTATGATTAGTTGGATTTTTAGAAGGGGGATTTGTAGGTGTGGGTTTGACTTTTGGAACTGAGGCCGAATAGTTCTTAACTTAGGCAGGTTGGTATCGTTGATACAGATTTTGTTATTAACGATCTTTTGGAGTAGAATATTTTCGCCTACAATTTTAGGACAAATGTCTGGGAGTAGAGCAGATGAAACAGAGCTTTTGGTTTGGGTTAGTCCAAACAAGTCGTTTTCTATCTAAGTAGAACAAGTCACCATTCTTTACATAATCTAATGTCTCTTGATCAGAAAAATACATAATGGCATATTGAAGGTTCCTATAGGAGGCCTTTGATTTAGGAATAACACAAGCTATGGCATGAATAGCATGGCCAATTTCTTGTAGGTATTGTCTATTAGTATCGACAGATAAGTTAGTCAGTTTAAGGGAGAATTTTGATTTTTGTCTGACTTCATCATTAAATAAGGTGCAGCAGTGTATTCTAACTATGTCTTTTAGCATGAAGAATCCATGATAGGTATCGAATTGTGACATGTCAGTATCAGTGGCGAATGTAATAGTGGCTTGTTGCCACAGATTATTGGTGATTATGAAGCATTGGGCAATTTTACCAAAAAAAGCAAATGATGATTTGATATTTGGTGATCGGAATTTCGGTAACCTTGATCGACATCTCAGGGGTAAATCTAGCAATTGGAGTAACATCTAGTGGAATAAACGTGGTATTATCCATATTAGGTATAGGAACTTTCAAGGCGCGTTCAAAATCATCTCGTATTGTGAAGCTGATTCAGACGATTTTCTTTGTTACATCTTGGAGGTGATTGCGGACTGTAACACCAGTAAATGAGAGAAAGTAAGGTCCATTGAACATGTTACAAGCAGCATTGCATTTGCCTTTATTGGTACTCTTTGGGAGAAAAGTATCTGTTGCGTAGAAGGCGAAGAAAATAGGGTACCAGTTTTACGTTCAAAGTGAAGAGTATTTTTTTGTTAGGTATTGTTAAGCATATTTTCAGTTGCATTGAAAGATTGGTCGAGGTTAATAGGTGTGTTCTTTACAGGTGGAATAATTTGTTCTGGTCCTTTTCCTTTATCTTGAGAAGATGAAGTTGAAGTAGTTTCTACTTCAATATTTGTTGGAGTATTTTCATTATTGTTGAAAGTTGAGATGGAAGCTTCTAAAACTTATTGTTGTTATTGTTATTATTGTTGTTGCTCTTCTGAAGTATCTAGTTATAGTCTTTTAGCTAGTAGTGGAGTAGGTCTATTTGCGACTGGCAAACTCGAACGTCTGCAGGTACTTGATTTTTATTTTTATTCGTATTTTTAGGTATTTTGAGTGTTAGGGGGAAGAGTCTCCCCAATAAATTTATTTATTTTATTTTTTTTTTTAAGTGCGATAGATTCGCAAAAACTTTATTGATAGTAAAATATAAAAATTACATAAATCAGAATTTACAAAAATTTCTATCTAATATAATAAAAAACTTTACTAAATCAAAACTGACCCTGCACTTTCCTAGAATCCAACGTAACTTAAATTACATTATCACCTTCCAGAAGACTAGAAATAAGGAAAGAGCTTGGCCTCTACTACACCAAAAATTTGTTCATTGTGATCCTAAATGAACCATATTAGTAATGAGTTCAGAGGGAATAATATGTTTCGAAGAAGTTGAAAAGGAATATCCTGTAGCTTTGAAGTGTAAACGCTTTTCCCGTTCGCTAATATTGTGCATTTTTTCAAATTCATCAAATAATGAGTATCGTCTTGTCCAAATCATTTGTGATTGTTCGAAAACAAAGTGCATAAAATTGGAAAGAACTGCTATTGTATTTTCTTTAGTTCCCAAGGTATAAAGTATGAGATTGTAGAGGCTTGTCGGTACAATGCCTTTAATAATGTCGAAGAAGGAAAAATCTGTAAGAGAAGAAATTAACCATATGTTTGACTGATCGATATGTTGTGGGATGGTATGAAGGTCCAGCAGTAATGCGAGGTGTTATTTGGACTGTTTAATCAGTCTAGATAACTCAATGTATACAGTGATATAATTCCAAATATGTGAGAAGTCCTCAATTTCAATATTGCATCAGATACATTTCTATGATGGGTGATAAATACTTGGATAACGCTTCTTTAATACTTCTAATGTTGATAGGATTTCAAGGAGTCGATGAATATTTTTTTGTTTGATAGCTGAGGCTTCAGAGCACGTAGCATGCGGAGCAATATTATCTGTGATGCAATGAAGGGTAGCAAGCCAATGAACATCAGAGGAATGATATTTTGAAATAATGTCGAGGTTAAGAAAGGCTGCTAGAGTTTCCACTCTTTTAATTTCTTTAATAAAAGGCTGAATTGGAGTAGCTACAGAGAGTTTATTGAAAAATATCAAGCAATGCTCATCATCATTTATGTTGATTTGAAGAGCTGATGAGGATAGAGATTGTTTTAGCAAGCGAATCTACTTTGTCATTGAAGGTGTCTCCTGAATGTGCTTTTACTTTGATCAATGAAACAGTAAGATGCATCTTTTTTATGGTATTGAATATGCAATACCAGATGTGAACGTTGGTTATCTTCAAAAATGGTCTTTGTGATGGTGAATAATTTAACAGATTCTTATATTTGTTGAACTGTGCAATAACTACACTAGAATCAGTGAAAATTTTAATTCAACATTGGGAAGGAGCAACTAGAATCACTGTAAAAATAGCAGCAAGCTCGGCAATAGAGAAAGACAGAAAAGAAGTGGTGAAGGCTGATGAATAAGACATAATTAGTGCAGTAGGTGTAGTTTAGAGCCAGGCAAGACCCATTCTAATTGAAGGCTTTCCTAAATTAATAAGTGAGCCATCAGAATAGAATTCAAGGTCAGAACAATTTGTAAAATGTGAACTTAAAGCTATTAATTGTGAAGAATGAGAGGAAGGAATATATTTTTCTATAAGTGTAGGTGAGGTTAAAAGAATGTTAGAAAGTATGAGAGGAGATCTTAATGCAGTATGTAATTGTTTGTAGAAGGAATCAGCCAGGTCTTTTAATATATCCATTGACTATGAGCAGAAGGGCTCAGACTCAGACTAACTATAATTGACAGGAATGATAAAACAAAGATTAAGTGGGAGATTAGTGAAACATAAATTGCGTGAAGTATTAACAGTTGAAGGTAAGATTATATATTGATTATTGATTAGACATCCATTGCATTCTTTCAATATCGTCTTTCATTATTGATTATGTGATAGGATAAAGTATTGTATCGTGGTAAAGATATTATCAGACTGTCGAAGTTTTCCAATAATAGGTTGATTATTGCCCAAATTTCAACCTACGATAAAAGATTGTTTGCTAGGAATCTTGTTTGGTTGCATGAAATTAAAATAACATTCTTTCAAATGTGGAACCTTTTGATGTAATTCACCTGTAATGGGATTTGAGAGTGATTCTTGTAACTTTGTGAACTACACTTGTATGTTTTCTATATGCAGAGTGTTTTGGTATACTGAGAGGTCAGCAAAAGTAAGCATAGATCGACCATGTGAATAGGAAAGCTGTTGCAAGAATAGTAAAGAATATTTTCTTAGATCAGCAGTAAAATTCTTTGTACCGTTCGGGAATTACTGTGTGTAATGGAATATTCCCTCCTTTGATGATGTTATGAAAAGTTGTTGGAATTTGAATTGTGATTGCAGATTTGTTCCATTTACATAAAGCATTAGTTACCCAATCCGAATCTTTTGAAGGGGTAGTGTAAGGCCAACATAATAACGGAGAGCTAGCTAACTATTCTTTTTGTTGGAGTTGTTTGAGTCTATGTTTGGTAGAAATACCAAAAGATTATTATCATTGATGGCTAAAAGGAGACTTTCGCTATGCGCAGCAATTAATCGGTGATGTAAGTTGGTGAGATTATATAACAAATGTGAGTGCAGAATCGTATGAGATGTGGAACGCGTTAGACGTAACTTCTTTTTCATAAATGCTCTGTATGAGAAACGATTTGGTGGCATTGTTGGTCAGTGAATGTTGTTAATTGTGCTCTATATTCGATCTTTGGAATAAGGACAGTATTAAATATATATGTAAGTTGTTTGTCGGTAAGCCATTTTTTAAACATTATTGTGACAGCATTTTTAACTTCACTTTTGACCAATTTATTGGTAAAGGTTTTATTACGCCCGAGTGATATCCAAACCCCCAAATATCTTGTAGATTCGTTGAGTAAGAGCAGAAAAATTACCGTAGGTGTACCATTGATATTACATATAAATACGTTATCATTGTCGTTACGATTTGTGAGTAAGATAGATTTTTTCCAGTTCACTTTAATAGAATTGAGTTGGTAAAAGCTATCTGCTATATGTATAATTTGGTCTAAATCCTCCCGTGATTTTGAGATCCACAGTGTATCATCCATGAATGCTAATGTTGATGTTTTATGGTGGTGGATTCCTTGATAATGGTCAGGACGTTTGGTTTCCATGTATATGTAAGAGAATAGCTGTACTCTGAGTTTTGAATCCTACATAGGAGGGGTCGTAATAAATACACCATTACAAGAGTGAAATAATTTCACCTTGGTCAATACCAGACATCACATGATATGTGTTAGTGTTACCGAATAGAGGAAAAATTTGGTTGTAATGGCTTCTGAACATTTTCATAATGAAACGAATAAAGTTAAAGGGACATGCAGTCATTCTAATGCTCTGATTAGCATAAACAAATTGACCCGATCATATGCTTTGGACATATCTTGTAATAGGATCCAAAGCTCACTTTTGTTATGTATAGAATCATATTTGATGTTATCAATAATATGGAGGGGTACAAATGTTGATTTAAAAGGTAGGCCTGTGAAGTTGAGTCCTTTTAAGATGTTGTGCTTGACCATTATGATGGAAAGTCGACGATTAAGGAGTTTGATGAGTGCTTTACGAGGACACTTGAATAGCATAATAGGTCTTGTGTTATTCAAATCGTATTCCCATGGTTTGGGTTTTGGAATTGGATAAATAAATGCATGATTCCACCTATATGGTAGCGATGATATTGTAAGGCAACCACAAATTATGAACCATAAAAGTTTTCTGGAAAAAGGACCCAAATGTTTTAACATTTCATTTGAAACTTTAGAAGGACTTGCTGCTTTACCATCAGGTAACAAATTAATAATATTGTATCATTTATCAGCTTCTGGATGAGTCATTAGCTCGTTATAAATTGAATTGTCAATCCCTTCACTGGTCTATATAACAGGATCCACTTATCAGTAATTTCAACATACTCATGAGATGTACCAGCTGCCATTTGAAAATGATGAGCCACTTCTTGTTTGACTTGTTTTTCATCCATTAGTAAATCACGTGATGGGGAGGAATTATCGATACATCTATCTAACAAGATAGTCTTTCTAGTTCTTTCCAATATGGAATCAGTCATTTTAGCTAGGGATGAAGTATAATTTTCAAGCCTTTTTTCAAGCGCTTGTTGGATTGACTTCAGTTTGTATTCGTGTTCGTGAAGTTTGGATTTAACAAAAATGGCAGCTAGAATTTGATTGACATAAAATATGAGCGACTAAAATAGAGTAACAGTCAAAAATGATAGTAATTGAACAAAAGGAACTTGGAACTCTTCTATAATAATATAAAATTGTTTCACATTTAGTGTCCAATTTTCTTCAATAATAAGGGCCTGACAAATTTTTTTGATGATTTTTTTAAATTTATATAAAAAGCGCATATTCTTACAAAGTTTAAGCAGGATAAGTGATTGTTTCATTTCGTGGTGTCCTTTAGATTATTTTGATGGTATGGTTTTGTTGGCGGCTTTGATGATGCATTCCTGCAATAAGTCCAAGTAGCGGTTTAATTTAGTTTGATCGAAGTTGGTGTGGTTGTTCAGAGATACTAAAGCACATCCCTTGGCCAGTACATCTGTTTTATTGCTGAATTTACTCCAAAGTTCTGGGGTCATTTTGTCCAAATTGAAAATCTTCTTCGAGGGTATCTTTCACTTATTTATTTTGATTTTAAGAAAGTTTTCACATTTGAGTATTACAATTGAGTGGTCGGATAGGGGGGAGGGAACAACTACTGTAGAACAAGTTAGTAGGTGAGAAGCAATATCTACTAAAGACCAGACGTAATCAATACGTGAAGTCACATTATGAGATCAGAAAGTTGGATAATTAACTCGTAGTCTATCGAATATTAATGTACATAAGTCAAAAAGATTCATATTTTGAATTGTAGCGAAAAAGTTTTATTAATTCTGGCGAAATTGGGTTTATCTATGTCTGCATTAAAGTCACCCAAAAGAAGAATGTGAAAGTTGTCAGATATAGCTGAACGTAATAATTTGAATAATTCAGTATAGATACGTTTTCTTGTGTCGATATCAGCTGAGGGCAGTGATGTCTATTTCCTATGTCCCAAGCATTTGCTGTCCCAGCTATATGTCCCAACTATATGTCCCAACTATGTCCCATATAAGTCCCAAATGTCCCATCTGTCCCATCAATGTCCCATCAGTGTCCCATCAGTGTCCTAACTATGTCCCATGACAACACTGGCTGGGGGTATATAGCAATTAATAATTCTCAATTTTTGTTTGTTTGAGAATTGGAGGTCTGTTAAGACAATTCAATTAAGAAAAGAATTATGGCGAAAAACATGATTGGCTAGTTGAGAAGTTAGCAAAAGGCTGACACCAAAACTGGTAAATTGCATTTGATTGAGTGGTTGAGTGTCAAAGAAACCAATGTATTTGTGAGCAAAATTTAAATGAAAAGGGGATATATTGTTTTTGGAGAAATTAGTTTCTTGTAGGCCTATTACATCAATATTTAATGAAGAATAGAATTCTATAAGGGTGTGTTATATTGCGGAGTTTGTAAAGGAGTGAACATTGTGTGTTGCAAAAGAAAGGGATGGAAAAGGGGAAGTGTTATTAATAAGTAAATCAGATTGTGCATCTAGTGCATTGATAGCGGTAGTGATAGTATTCATATTAAATAAATTATTGAGGGGGTTTTTGGAGAACAACTCCATCTCTTGATCGAACAATGTGTCCAGAGCAAAAATATTATTAGCCTGATCTTTAGGAAGAAGATCACGTTCAATCAGAATTGATTGGAATAAAGTCCATGACTTGACTAAAGTATTGACTATGGATGTTACAGATTTGAGGCGTTGATTCTGCATCTGGTTGATAGATCGGAGGTCCTCAATCATTTTTTATTGTTTGAAAATTAGTGATGCTGAAGTATCAATAGTGGCTTTAATATCTTCATTCATTTCGTCAGCATTAAGATTTTTGCACTCTGCTTCAATTGGAGTGATCACCTTGATGTTCAAGGCTTGTTCAATTAATTCAACTCTTTTAACAGTAAATGCGAGAGTGTGTATAATGGAGAATAACTTTTCTTCTAAATTAGTGAATTGTGAAGAAAAAAAAGCTCTCACGTTATCATTAGTATTATCATGTATTGAACCTCTAGCTTTCGTGCCTTTGGTAAGATTGCCACTGAGTAAAGAATAAATGAATTAATTAATAAGAAGGCTTTCTTCAGTATTGTAAGGAACATCATCTGACCAAGACGTTTTGGGCTCCTTGACAAATGAGTTTGAAGTTTTATTATTGTTATAGGTATCTTTGCCTTGTTTTGGTAAAAGTGGAGTAGGTGGAGTTTTGGCTTTAACATCTTGTCCTTTGGTAGCATCAGCAAACGTGATATCAGGGTTTACTGCACCTCTCATTTTTTTGGAGCTTTGTAATTAGAAAATTAGGCCGGTTGAAAATACTAATATAAATTTTGAATATTGTGATCAGCTGGTTGTTTTCTTCTTTTTGGGCAGTCACTTTCCTTGTGATAGGGTGAAGAACAAATCGCACAAAGTTTCATATTTGCAGCAGTCCATGTCACATATTTACCATTGATCATGAGATTTTCATTGCTTAGAGCTGCTTCCATATCTTCAGCCGAGAAAAAATAGAAAAAAGCATATTGTAAGTTACGATAGTTGGAGCGTGTTTTAGATATGATCCATGCTAAAGCGTTGACCATATGGCCAATATTCCAAAAGTTGTTTCTCAGTAGTAAACCTAGGAAGGCTAGCTAGTTTCACTGAAAATTTCGATCTAAGAAGGATATCTTTTTTTGGTAAGTCACATCCATGTACTCAGACCATATTATTTAGAATAAAGATACCATGACATGCTGCAAGTTTCTTAAAGTCAGTATTTTCCGCAAATGTAATTGTGGCTTGTTGCCACATGTTCTTAGTTTTCATATTGAACTTGATGATCATTCTAAATTTAGAAAAGACCATTTTGATTTAGTGTACAGTGATATCAAGGGGATTTCTGTAATCTTGATCGATTGGGCTAGAATGAATGGGTGCGACAGGAT